GATATCTCCACTGGGTTTTAACCGAATATTGTCAAATTTTCAACATGGATGAAGAACACAATTATCTAGGTCTTAAACCTCCAAAATTTGCAATTTATGAAAATGTTCCCTGTTATTTAGTTAATAGAGTTAATATTAGTTAATATTAGTATACTTTTTGAACATTTCACGAGAAAAACCCCCTCAAAACACTCTTTTCTGAGGTTTGTCTCCTGGACAACTTGCTTATGGACAGGATGAACTTAATCCCATACTTCTCGAACCATTCATTATCACGTTATCGTGTTTATAATGAACACCACTTTTTAACACTTAGGAGCTAGTTATTTATTAACTATCGTGGCACGTGACCTGGAAAAGCTCATTTTTGAAGTCAGAGTGCAAAGTCCTGTAACATGATACCAAAACTGTTCCACAGAGTTGTTTTGCAAAAAAAAAAAAATTTTAGGTATAAGACCACCTTAATCGATCAGTTTGGTCACCCATCCACTCATCAGTAATATATCATTGATTCTATTATGATAGCCCTCCAACGCCCGTTACTGTGCTTCTCTTTATGTTCATCTAAGTGTTTGGGCGCTTTTCATTCGATGAAGAATTCCGGAAGTTTCCGGTGACGAATGGAATAGCATTTTCCTCGGAAATTTCGGAGATTTTCGGTTAAATGGTTCCCTTTCGGTAAATTCGAAAATTTCGGGATTTTTTTTTAAACTTTCCCATGCAGGAAATGTCCGTACCATTTGTCCCCGTTTTGAAATTTTTGTATTTTTTAGTTGAATTGAAAAGCGCCCCCCTGTCACATTTACTGTTTTAATTATTAATTGATCAATAAGAATATGGACAAATTTCTTTACCTTTGCGCGTACCCTGCTCACAATCCTGGATGCACTTCTCAAAAGTGAAAATCTATAGAGGACACAAAGCTAGACATTAAAAAATTAACTAATTTTTATTGACCAACTGCCTGTCAAAATCATAGGCGTACGAGCTGGGGGAGCGAGGGGGACTGCAGCTCCCCCCCCCCCCCCAGCTACGGAAATTATGTGATTTTTCGGGCAAAACGCTCATGATTCGGGCAACGACACTTAAGAGTAAACATTACAAAATAGTGCTGTCTACGTGATTTCTAAAATTAGTTACTTTTTTTAGAATTTATTCTTTTAATAAGTTTTAGATTTTACTCGGATTGAAAATGTTGATAGAGTATGATTGATTGATTATGTTAGCCTGCGAACAGGCTCCCGGCGAGGACGGAAAAAATTTCGGCGAGCGCGAAACAGAAGAATTCGGAGAGCAAAGCGATCGGGGCGGCTCACTGGGAGCCTGTTCGCTGGCTAGATTATGTAAGCTTTGAATATAACCAGGAGCCCATTAGGGCTCCTGATATAACTATTTTTGGAATTATAGCAGTTTCATTAGATGTGGGAATTTTGAACATTTTTGTTTTTCATGCAATTTGAGTGCGTTTGCATCTCGATTTCAACACTCTCGCATTCGGGCATTGCGTAAAGTTTTCGAGCAAGAAGGTCACCCCTCCCCCCAAGTCCGAAGGTACCCGTACGCCTATGGTCAAACTAATTGCCATGGAAACATCAAGTTCCGAGTACAATGACATGCTTAATCAAATAAATTTCAGCTAAAGTTACAAAGTATGGTAGCTTTCAGTTAAAGTTGCAGGTCGCACATAATTGTATCTACGGCAGTTACATTCTTAAAATTGATTGACGTAAAGAAACTGAAATAATTATACCAAAAAAGCTCAAAAACATATCGATAACCGGAAATACATCGTAACCGGTAACCGTATTAAAATAATAGTAACCTGAAAGCCACGATGATTTTAAGCATGCACGTGCCCAGCGGTGTCATCATATCTTCCCTGCGTTGATTCATTTCCGCATGGCATCGACCTCGCGAGGGATTTCATGGGAAAGACCATGGTTATTTTTACATGACTATTCCATCATTGTTATGGCCCCCCAAAACGTTTGCCAATCGAACACTGGACCGCTTCCGCTGCAGGTCAGATTCTTCCTGAAGGAGATCTACTCTATTCTGAGGTGCAATCACAGAGAACACATACTTGTATCATTCATTCAGTAGATTTGCCGTTCAGTTGATGTCACTGTTACTGTTATTCTTATGTGCAAATCGCGAAGAACCCAAAGTTGTATCCATTCAGTAGATTTGTTTTGTTGTTGACGTGAAATCGCCAGAAACTCATAGTTGTATGCATTTAGTAGATTTACTGTTTTGAAGTCACTGAAATCGCGCTCGAAAAACTCATTATATTTTCCGTTCAGCAGATTCGCTGAATTATAACAGTGTGTGTATGCTAATTTATTGTTTCCATATTTCATTCGTTATGATGTAGTACTGCCCAGTATCCACTCGCAGCATTCCACATACGATTTGTAACCTATATTTTTATACATATTACTTAGCGACACGTGTGAGGTAACGCCATGTGGCAACCTTGAGTTCTCTTGCGTCTTCTCCCAGGTAATCTGAGAACGAAAGCCAAGAACTGAAAGCGTATTTGTAACGCTAAGCCTAAAAAACACTTTTTCATCTCAAAGGGCCCATCTGTTGGTTAAAAAGGTTAGAGTCTGTTTATGCGTGGTCCTTTTTGTTAAAACAAAAATATCACAACTTCCAGATGTTGCGATTATTCGAAACACGTGTTCGTGAAAAGCGTTAAAGTTTAAAGATAAACTCAATAGCAAATTGCATTTGAAATGAATCTTATAACGTAACGAATTTCAATTTCAATATCAAAAGATTACAATTTGGACCTTAAATCCTTTGATGGAATAGAGGAAATTATACTGAGTGTCGTTCGATTCCAACTACGAGGAAGATAAATTTAAACGGCATAATTAACCTTCTGGTTATTAAGTTCGAAAACAAATCATTGGTAAAGGGGCATTGACATAGTAAACACAAAGTTAATTTTGAATCACTACGTAGCAAAAAATATTAGTGAAAGCAAGAGTTGGAGATATACGAAAACGATACATAAAAGTGACTATTTTCAAACAAAGATATTCAGCATAATTACAATTATCACCTACCCAAGGAAAGAAAAGACTATGCGACCAAGATTTTTGACATATAAGCTGACTTAAGATATTGTAGTAAACGAATTCGCTTTAGTCAGATTTAGTATCTTTGAAGTCGACCGGTACCACTTGTTTACCTACCCTTCGTTTTTCTCGGTTTTTCATCATTGATCTGCAAAGACGGAAGCAAGCTGTGTTGGACGGTGGTGAAGTCCCTCTAAATAAATTGCTCGATCTTGATCTTTGACGAAGGGATTGCTCCTCAGCACGTGTCCCTAAACACTCACTTCTGGGAAAGTATGCCACAACAACGAGCAAGCTAACAAACTGACTAGAAAAGCAAGCCATTTTGATTAAACAAGCTGGTTTTCCCTCTAACTCTTATCCTCTCAGGGCACAAAACTGAAAAACTGCTACTTCTTCCCTTTAGCACTGTCGCTAAAGCAAAACAGGATGGGAAGGGTTATGTTTTGGTCACGTGCCAACAATATTGAACCAAAATTCAAAGACAACTATGACCCCTTGACTTTGAATATAATTTGCTGAGAGATTGTGGAAGGAATTATCTCATTGACACGTTTTGACTAAAATTTCGAACAAAAATATAATTGTTTTACCAGAAGAAAAATGGTGCCAATATCAAAAAGGAAGGAAATTATCCTCATCCCAGGTTTCATTTTCGTGTCCACTTTCGAGTTTATATAAAAAAGATAAACAACGACCATAAAACACGAAGCCCACCCTCATCGCATAAGGACGAAAACATGACTCTTGACAAGAGCTTTGTGAGAGGTATTGTATTACAAAGGTCATACTATTTACAGAAGTTTGCGAGTAAATATGAATGCTTAACGAATTCATTGATTCCTAAATTCTCCTGCCGCAGTTTTGAATTTTTTTTTTTCCGTTTTCCTCTCGCCTTTTTAAGGGCGATTTTGGCGATTTTTTCACCTCCAAAAAAAAAGAAAAGAAAGGAATGTGCTGAGAGAGAACTTGAACATTTCCAAGGCTTTGCAGCGAGTGGCGGGCACCGCCGACACCTGATAAACTGAATGTTTGACCTTTTTACTGTATGACAGACTGGTCAATGATGAAAAGAAGAATTCTAATTGGCATCTAATTGGTCCGAAATTTAATATATATATGGGAAGCACATTAACAGATATACTGGGCCTAAGTTATGGGGAAACGAAAAACCGGATCTGCGCCCAAAGTGTTCACGCGCTGACAGACCCACTTCAGTTTCACATCACAAAGTTGGTATTCTCGACGTAAAGAACTCTCTTTCACGAGAGAAACGTTGACAATATGAAATGCCAACAGTACGCTGGTACCTTAGACGCGACTATAGAGGGTTTTGATCAAAACGAAAGAAATGAGAATAAAAAATAAAAATAGTACTGAACGAAGTGCATGGAAAATGTCCCGCGATCATTCCAGCCGTAAAAACAAAACTTGCAAAATTTGCTTTTTCATGATCAGGCAGATGCAATTTCGATAAGGCCAATTTACATTTTTACTTTAAGAAATGAAATCTAACTTAAAATATGTCTCAAAAAAATTAAAAATCTAAGGGACCAATTTTTCGCCTGCGACGAATTTAGCCATCTGAGACGGAGGATTATAAAAGATCTGATATAAATTCAGCGTGGGATAATTCGTGTCTAGCCAGAAAATTGGGCCAATACTCCAGCTTTAAAAATTTTTCCTCATTGAGTTCTTTTAGTTTTCAATTTAGGCTCCAAAGTAATTAGACAATTACTTTACTTTGGTTTTGGTTTTACTACGGTTTGAGATTGGCTGAGCGTCTAATTGGTAAGTAATTGGTTTTGGTTTTGGTTTTACAGCACTCAATAGACCAATTTCAATATATCAAAGTTCAGCCTAACACAATAGACCTCAGCTAGACGAGGCTCTGGCGAATAAATCCCACAAACTCTGTTGTTATTCCCCAGAGCCTCGTACTGAGGTCTATTGTTTTAGGGTGAATTTTATTAACATAGCAAAATTGGTCTGTTAATGACCGCTCTATTGCGATTTATTAGTTTTGGAAAACGCTTTCATTTGCATTTTCAAATTTCAAAGAAAAATGAATATCTATTTTTGTTGTCCTAGTTTTCCTAGCTTTTTTTGAAATTTTCAAAATAGGTACTGTAATTGTACTTAGTTTTGAAACTTGTAACGTTTTATGTGTAATTTATCAAATGGAATAAAGACACTATTTATTTTATCTAATCAATGTTGATCTTGTAATGAAACTCTCGAGGGTCGCTAGTTTGAATTGGGTGCCTTTCCCTCTTTCCTCGGGCATTATTGAACAGGGTCGAGCAACGTAATAAATTACCTACCGAAGCCGAAGGCTGAGGGAAATAATTGATCGGCGAAACACTGACAAATCTTTGGAGATAACGTGCCAAGTTCAATAAAGGTTTGATAATTCGATCACCACGGTTGTTTTCCTAGTTGAATCATTCTCTGACAGCTAAAGGAAGCAATCTAAGAGCGTGGTTACAATTACACATGAGCAGAACAATATTTTCAGCAAAACACAGCATCATGAGTAGACTATTATTTGTAGGAAGTTATCTGAAGGTCACGTGGTTGTCTTGGCCAATGAAAAGGAAGGGGAAAAAAGCATCGAATGACAACTACCACTAAGAATAGACTCTTTAGATACTGTCGTAATAATCTAATCCTGAAGGGTGATGAGCCAAAATTTAATTAAACCGTTGTTTCGTTATACATGTTTTGTTACATCCGCAGTTTTCGATGTTTTTCATGAAAGCAAACTCATTTTGAGAAACGCTAATAAAAGGCAAAACCATAATATCAAACCGACAACAAGGAGAACACCTGGATCAGTAAAACTCTTAAGAAAATAAGGGAAACAACGGCAGGTGGATTCTTAATGCAAGGAAAAGGGACGGAAACAGAAATACGATAAAATAATAGCTGCAATAACCTCCTGGTGGAACATATCTGTTCCTGTGTGTGAAAGTTTAGTTTTAAACGTGGAAATATCCAGCAAATTTGCAACCCTCAAACGAGAAACACATGCTCACAAAGCGGCTGGAATCGAATCAGCGAATATACTATCAGGAGCCATAATGATACTATTCAACATTCATTTCAATTTCCTTGCAGTGAGAATCAGTCAGCTGCTATCTAGTTTTAGAAAACAGTCCTACGAAAAATGCACGCGTTGATTGGTTAAAAATCGCGTTACTACAACTCGATAGAAACACAGAACTAGCACGAGCTGTTGACAAGGGAATTTACATTTTGACAATCATTCATTCATCATTCATTCATTCATTCTGTTTATTTTGCCTTTTTACGTAATGTGCAGAATTCATAAATATTTTAGTGTGAGGCGAGGTGACCTCCAGAAACCATCAGGCTTTTATTTGAGGCCACCTCGTACGTAACAATACGGTCACGGTGTTGTCTAAAAGAAATAGAAAACAAGCTGTGGAAACACTCGCCTGCAGCTCGGGTTCCCACAGCATTTCTCGTTCTCCCAAACTTCCACTTTCGCGAACTTAGCCCCGTTCACTAGGGTTAGTCACTCGGTAATCTAACTNCCACTCGTGTTTCTATAACTCGAGAGAGAAACACGGTACATGTTTTCTATTTCTTAAATAACAAAATAAATAAATAAATAAATGAATAAAAGGCAGAAAAAACTCAATTCAGTTATGGTAGTAATATCATGGGTGACTAATTACTCCTTAATTTTGGCTCGAAATTTCAGTGTTAATTTATAAATTCACATGTGAAATTACAAAATTGCCATGGCAACGTTTGGCGCGAAATTTCTCGATACTGAGAATGCAAAAAGTTGTTCTACACGATAAAAGTTGCTCGAAATACAAGAAGTTGCCAAAAAGTTGCCGAGCAACTTTTGGAAAACCCTAATTATTATGATGTGTCTGAAGTTTGTTTCTCGTTCCGCTTCTCAGGATTTAAACTCATTTTGCGTTTACTGAGCTGCTAAATTTACCAGGTACCCCTTGTCGCCAATGGTAGACTGTATATGAGAAGCATCACTCAGCATTTTCATGCTTTTTTAATGTTTTACCCATTGCAAAAATCCCTTTCTTTCTTGAAATTTTATGATACACTGCGCAACTAGCCCGTTACTAGTTCCTGTTCTTTGTTGACTTCTTTGTCCGAGGGGGGAATGAGTACAAAACACACCGAGGAAGCCCGCAGGAACAGGGCAGGAAGAAAAGTGACATGTCAGCGTATTGCCAGAATATAAAGAATTGCGGGCATTTCCTATTTTAACGACTTATGATGTGATCATAATCAAGACAGCAATGCTAAATGGCGATCGTCGAATTGTCCTTAGTATCTGTTCTTATTTTTCTTGGCCTTGCAACATTGTCGACGGGAAAGCATGCGTTTAAACAAGATAAACTCCCCGCACTGAGACGTTTGCCGTCAACTCTTTGTCATCTCCGTTGTGCTAAGGATTCAAACAAGGTAAGGTGATCAAACAGTTTTGAAAAATGCGTAACGGTTTCGTTGGTGTGAATACGCGTGGAGAGATCGAGTTTGTCGAATAATTCACATCTAAGTACTGCAGTAGTGTCGTCTTCACTTGATGTCGCGACTTCAGCCTGCGAAACTTATCATTGATTTTATCACCTGTATGACATAATTAAAACCTATTCGAAACCGTCTTCATCTCTCAGAATTTTCCATACAAGATTTGGAAAACTTGGTTTAAAAATCCAATGCACGAAAAAAATTGTCGAAAATTATACCAATTCTCCTAGCTCGAGAAGGATATTAAATTTTGTAGTCTTTCCTGTTTGCGCACAAACAGGATGTTTTGAAAATATTACTACGCATTAATTTTAAAATGTACTCAACTTACTCCAACATGGCCATTTTAATGTCTTTTGACTTAGTTTTTAAGGCAATATTAAAGAGTAAAATTTGTTATCGTATAGAATTCAGAATTCAATAGGTATAAAATAACATGCTATACACAACGATGCCGCACATGTATTTGCTAGGAGTGTTTATTTTTGTAAAAGCGAAACACAACTAAAACTTCTTGTTGTTATGTAAATTTTTTTCACTTTCAATTCATTAACGACAACTACATGTCACAATGCCATGACAATCATCAATCCATCTCGTTTCACAGTGACTACAATACCTAATTTCCTACCTTGTCGATTAACATCGCTACAGCTTCGAAACCTTCTATCGGCGACTGATCATGATATGATCACCAGACGTTAAACATGTTAATTCACAAGTTGTATTTTTATTGCGTGTTCCGGCAACTAATCTCACTCATATTGCACGGTTTGGAAAACACGACCACTTGCAGCGCTGTCAAGTACTAATCATTCTTATGCCGTGACAAGTTCTGACTGCTAATTTTTTTTGAAGTTTCTTCGGTTGCAGCGACACTTAAAATTTGTATATCGCAGCGACCATTATTCCAAATATTCTTTAGTCCTTCTGCCCCCGTAAAAATTTCATCCACTTAACAATGCCTACTGAGCTTGTTTATCTTTCAAGTCTCACGAACTATGGCTCTCTTTGGGTCTCTGTATTGATTAAATATCAGCTTCCGTAATTTATTAAAACCATTAATTAAACAATATCTACATTTTAGAGTGCATGTATTAAGACACGTACATTTGCATGAGTGTATGCAATTGACCCAAATGTTAGTCGTTAGACCGTATTAGGTAACTTTCAAGTCAGGTGCAAACCCTAATGATACATGTCTATATATATACCATATTTGACATAAAAATGCAACCATTTAATTTCAAATGAAGATATACCTTCCATGAAACATGTTACTGTAAAACAGTCAAGTGTCAACATGTGGATGGTCTTTGCTTTGAATATTTAATGAAAAGCAAAGAAAATTAATAATTTTATTTTATTTGCAGTTTGTAAAAAATATATTCCCTCTTCTACATACTGCAGTTGAAACACTGCTGTCTACATCCTTTTCTTTTATACCCTTTAATTTATACTTTATGAAAAGGCCCATTTAGCGAAGGTAGCCCTTTTGGGTGGAGCCTCCTTGCATGATTCATTGCAGGGAGTCCCTACTTTTGTTCTTGGAAGGAGACTAATATGCCTTCTGTCAGTTTAGAGTATAAATGTGTGTACGTAGGTGAATTATTACTTGGCAAACCGGTCAGTGTAACACGCAGAAACAGGGTTATTTAGGCAAATAGTAGAGAAAGTCTGCACTCCGTTTATCCTGAATACCACTTCGGTTAGCCTAAAGAACACTCTGCCTAGCCTGCTGACAGTTAGCTCTCAATAATGGAAATTGTAACACGGTACAGTTAAAAAGTCTCCATTCTGCATTCTATATTTTACCCCTGGTCCACAGTCTGCACTCTGCAATCTTCATTTTACACGGACCGCTTAACAAACTGAAGAATAATGGGGATTACCCTGCACAATCACTAATAAATATCAGTAGTGATGACCCTACTTGTTCCTACAGCACAACAAATGACTTAAATCTGTACTAAATTATTACCACTGAATGGTAGCTGTGAAAACTATAATTTCACAGAAACAATAGCTTAATGATGTCATATATGGTTTGATCCATGCTCTATTTATCATTTCTTTGTATCCATGTCTGTTTTTTTCTGGTTAACACCTAGTATATGATGCAGTTATTTTGAGCTAGAGTCTGAACCTAAAATGTCGTTGTCAACTATGGTATTTTTCTAGGCCATTTCTGAACAAGAGTGTATTCGAAGCTGCCAGGGAAAATTGACATTGTCATTAGGTAATGTATGCAGGAAAATGTTATGTTGCAATGTTCTGCAGAATACAAGTTAACATATGAAAGGTCATAATTAATTATATGTTCTGCGGGTTTGCATTTTGTAAACTCTTATTACACTGTCTGCTAATGAATTCTTGTTGGCTATTAAAAGTTGCATGTATGTTTTACCAGAACGTGTCACTATACATTACCAAATATTTCATCAATTTTTATGATGAACAAGACTATCTTTAAATTGAAGAGAGCCCCAAAATAACAGAAACTTTGCAAAACAGAGAACTAGGGAAGAGGTATTAGTAAGAGGTATTATTACCCAATCCATCCCCCTTGTAAGGTCTAATAAGGTTTTAAAAAGAATAGAACTTTTGCAGGATTACAAGTTCTTTCTTTAGCTTAGTCTTACAGATGCAGCATATTGGCTGTCATGTACAGTAATGCTTTGAAGTAGTAATGTTGTCAGTAGTAAATATGTTGCCTAACTCTGTATTTATTCTGTAGAACAAAGCAAAAGTCATGACTTCAGCAAAAGAACGATAAAAAGGCATTTCATCAGACGTCAGCGAAGTGTTAATAATGTGAATGCATTGGATGGTAAGTTGCCAACTTAGGTCACAGGTTTGCTTATGTTAAACCCATTGTTTAAATGTTTCAACTAAAGCATTAAGGGGGTTCCTTCTTAACTACCAACTGGTCATGAATTATTAGTGAATATACATGTATATGAAATATGAAATATTTGAGCTGCAGAGAAAGATATCAAGACATGATTATAGTGTAATCATCACAATTACAGTTACACACAACTTAAGCATTTGTGAAATTAAGCCCGAAAAAAAATTCTTCAAACCAACATACACTTGTACCTTCAAAGACCTAATCCCTAAATTTTAGCCTTTGTAGAGGGGAAATGGCAAAGATCTTTGTGGTATTAAGGCTATCTCAGACCAAGTTGGACCAAAATGGTCAGAAACGTAACCTCCAAAATAACATACTGGCCCCAGTTGTCCGAAGGCTAGATAACGCTGACCAGACAAATCACCATTCAGTGGATAAGTGTTAACAAAACAAACCACGCTATCCATTGGATGGTGATTTCTTGTGTGGATGGTGTTATCCACCTTCATGCACCTGTTGTCATACTTAACAAAATGGCTACCAAGCAAAAGGGAACCTATTGTGTTTGGTTTTGCAATGAATATTATTACCTCGTGATTTGCTGGTCAGCTTTAAATAGTTAGTATACTAAATATAATTCAACAGCTAAAAGCATAACTTGTATTTAGCAAATTTACCCCAAATGTAAAGTACTGTTCAGTTAAATCCATGATTAATTTTTGAAAGTTACTTACTGAAAGATCTGTTACCTTCTCAGAATGTCAGTCCTCAGCCCAAGCTTCTCATCATAAGGCAAAGAATCTGTTGGTAAATTTGACAGGAGAAAAATGGCTATATATTAAATGGGATGCCATAGACCCTTCAAAAACAGGTAAATAAAAGTTTAATGGTACGTACAGAGGTATTAATTATGCAAATTGGCAAAGTACATGAGGGGGACGTGGTTGCCTACTAGAAACTGAAAAACTGTGCAAAAAATCGTCCTAAATGGCAGTACGCGAATAAAAGCCCTCATTGACAAGGCTCTCAATTGGTAGTCTTCAGATTAATCTCTCTGTCTGTTTTATTTTTAATTTTTATATATCTAAACTTGTTTTACTTTCTGAAGTTCTTTCTTCCTATTCTCTTGTTAGGACAAAACCCATCATATGATAAAATGATTTTAGGTAATTTTTGTTTAAAGAAGAAACACCACATTGATTCTGAAGTTTCTTTTTGATTGCCTTTGTCAGAATTTTCATTTGTGAAGGCACAATGGCAGCTGTATTTTACAACTACAGTAGCCAACAAACATTCTCTCCTTTGCTGTTATTCCATGTGAATGGAACGAGTGAGCGCAATGCTATTCCCATTAATGAAAAGGGGAGACAACTTGCAATCGAGATAGAAACTCAGTGGTCCACAGTCTTATGTCAAAGTCCAAAAGACATAATCCCAGTGGTGTGATATTTGAGAAATGACCTCCTGCTTTGATGTTATCTTTGGTTTTTTGTGGTCTGCTTCGCAGCCGTTATGACCAATTACTTCTTTGTAAGTCTCTCCTGATGACACAACCCTGTTACGGCTGTTAAAGAGAGTAGGCTTGTCATGCTCTTCTCTAAAAGATAGTCAAGGTAGGAGGCAGGGAGCAGGGATGGTGCCGTGGTGAGAGCCCTTGCCTCCAACCAATGTGGCCCGGGTTCGATTCTGATGATGTGGATTGAGCTTGCTGTTGGTTCTCACCTTGGTCTGAGGGTTTTTTCCTGGGTTCTCCAGTTTTCCTCCTCCCACAAAAAACAACACTCCATATTCCAATTCGACCAGGATAGAGGACCCGCATGAAAACCAGCTGCTTAAAAGCTGACGTGGCTTCCTCTCTAAATATAGTAATTTCTTTTTACAAGAGGTCCCTTAGAATTACAGTTATGGCATGTAATTGCAGAGTGTAACATCCTCGGCAAAACCAGAAAGACGGTAAAATGCATTGGACAGAAAAGTGCAAAGAACCGCCAGTATTGTTGGCAAAGACCAAAACCAAAGACTAGATTAGCATACAAGACACCAAAAGCGAAAAACTACAGAATGATGGTATCTATGTTACCTAAAACCTATGTTACCTAATTCACTAATTTCAGTCTATCTATACCTTTATCTTTCTGGTGATAACCTACTCATGATCAATTGTAGCAATTCAACTCCCAAATACTGGCATTTCAAAATAACACTCCAACTGAATGGAATAAAACTACCATTGTGGACCTGTTTTTGGTTTGGTGGGCAGATGACTTGCCTGGGCCCTTGCCCGTCAGGCAAATGAGAAAGAAAATTTGCGTGCCCGGCATAAACATCTACTTCTCCAAGACGAGCCCTGTATTGGGTGTGTTTCAACTGTTTGATGCTGCGCTAAGATGCAGAGGAAGCAGCTGGAAAAAGAGACATAAAGACACTCTATAACACCACAACCAAACTCAGTGGTCTTAGAAAGACCATAGACCACCCAATTAGAGACAAAACTGGAAGCCTGCTCACCAAACTGAATAGTCAACTTGAAGAAGGGCATGATCACTTTGCAACAGTACTTTTAAGTATTGTAGGGATGCAACTATAGATCCCCAAACCACAGCCTAGCCAACAATAATTTTTTACTAATTGACACAGACAATCAATATACTTCATAATCTGTTCAATACTATCTGGACATCTGAAGAGATTCTAGAGGACTAGCTAAATGGGTTACTAGTCAAACTGCCATAAAAGGGGAACACCAACTGTTGTAAGAACTGAAGAGGAATTACTCTGCTGTCTATCCCAAGCAAAGTAAGAAGCAAAGGAAGAAAGGAAGCACAGCAAGCTTTTGCTAGGATCAGCTCAGTTTGGAGAAGCAAAGACCTGTGCACGGCTACCAAAATCAGAATTTTGAACACCAATGTAAAGGCAGTTTTATTGTGCAGCTCAGAGACATGGAGAGTGACGACAACATCAACAAAGAAAGAACAAACTTTCATCAACAAGTGTTTGAGGAGAATTCCAAGGGTACAATTTGGCCTAAGGTGATCGCCAACTGAGATTTATGGATAAGAACCAATCAATGGACTGGTCATGCACTAAGGCATGGCGAGAGGAACATACATGTAGCATGCTACATGATGGATGGGAACCCACACGGTACACAGAAACATGGCAGACCTAGAATTACGTGGCACAGAAGCATCCAGAAAGCTCTGATGGAGGCCAACTTCAGTTGGTGCAAGGCCAAAAGCATGGCTCAAGACCCACAGATGTGGAAGGCAACTATATGGCTGCGCTATGCCCCCATGAAGATGATGATACAGTGCTTATATAGGGGTGGCTTTTATTTACAATTTGTCATTTTTTTTTAAAGATACATTTGTGCTACTTATAATTTATTGATAGCATTTGTTTCTTTGTTTTGTTCAAAAACAAGAACAAGAGTATCATAAATCTAAGAATGTTGTAACAACTTTGAGATCCATTGAGATAAACTGTTCACATTTTTACTTTAAACTCTTCAATTTAGCATATCCCTGTAAGTAAACAATTCAGAGTAAGCGTCACGTTCCAGGTACTGAGTGCTTATTTGATGATGGCACTTATTTCGGAGTGGTGCCTATTAATATTTTTGTTTCAAAGTAAGGTGCTTATTTGGTGGTGACACTTAACTAAGGGCAGCACTCTTTTGAGAAAATATAGTACGTTAATAGTGTTTTTCTTTTCCAGATTTCAATTGGACAAGCTATGCATTAATCTACGATAGCATTCACGGATCAAACTGTATAGTTGTTCCAAAGGTCAGTTTACAAATAGCAAATTGTTTAAGGGGGAGTGGGGAACATATACTACAGGTCATCTAATATATTGATCCAGGAAATGCTGTCGCCCATCAAACATGAAAGGACTGGTCATTTTCTTTTCATTTGTTCAAATAACTAAGGTCTTCAACAGTTCTGAAAGAGACTGAGAATGAGAATAAGAATAAGAATGAGAATGCAAATTCAAGCTATACAACCTTTTTTAATATGCACAATGCCTCTAGGCAGGTCATTTCAAAATACAGTCCAACCTGTATTAAGTGGACACCCTCTATTAAGCGGACAGCAGTGCAAGTCTCATTTTTCTTTTTCCACATTCACTGTAAAAAATACCTGCATTCAACAGACACCTCTATTAAGCGGACGGGGACACCTTAAACTTGACTTTTATGGTCATTTCTATTGTTAGAAACCTGTATCAAACGGACGCTGCAAAAATAATGCACGATTTTTTGTCCACGTTTTAGTAGATCGGTCATTTAAGTTTGCCAACAAACTGAGCTGTCACAGAAATGCAATATTTTGTTATTCAGTTTTGTTTTTATGTTTTACAGAACTTTTGTTCTTGGTTAATTTTTGTTTAATTTTGTGAACCTTCACATGATTCGATCAATATAGATACCATTACTGTATACGTGTTACCTCATATACTTGTCATTGTTTATGGAAATACGGTATTTCAGAGTTATCGACCATTCACAAGAATGCTTTTTGACCCTTTCAAAGTCTTTTGATTGGACTAAGTTTGAGTGATTTTGGAAAACAAGAATCGCGTCAATGTGTATGGTTACTCGAGTGAAGCGACGGTTAATTTGACCCAGCTATAAATGGGAACAAATAAAAATTTAAAATTTCAGTGGTTTTGCTAACCTTTGTTTCATCTTTGAGTAAACTAGCCACTCGATTTATTTTAGCAAATAATTGCAGACCCTTGAGCCCAGTGATCCTGTGATCTAAAGACCCTGGAAAGATTGCCGATGATAAATGCAAATGTTTGATAATTTTGGAAATTATTAGCTGTGGCAAACGGTAAACACCTCAATTTTCCGCAGTTCCTTCCCAAATAAATTTGCACTTGATTCACATATGACAAAAATGTAACGGAGGATTTCCATTTTCATTTTTGCTTTTTGTTGTTATCACAATAACGTAATGAAATAGTGAAAGCACAGATTTCGATCATTTGCGCTTGAGTGATTCAACATCCGCCAGTCTCGTCGGCCCGGCACATTGCATTGGTTTGTGAAGATAGTTTTTTCACGTTAAAAATATCCCAAACTCTCTTCGCTAGTGTTTAAATAGCTTTTGACAGCAATTATCTAATTTCTCGTATAACCGAAATGGAGGATTCTTTTAAAATCTTTTTAAACGAAAGAAGTTTGTTCTGTGACTGTGGTTTCTGTGGTTGAAGATCTCACTCAATATAATGCAATAAACATTTCAGACATATTTTAAGTGTTCATGGTTTTTTTGAGTTTGACAGTAAGTTTACCCACAACTTCTTGAACTATCTGATTTTTCAAACCACTTCTTGTTTCCCTTGGAGGTTCAAAAAATCAGGGTTCTGGTGTTTATTATTGAGTAGTGAATTTCTTGGCGTTGGGCACAATTCAACTTTTTGAGTTCTCTCTGTTTTGAAAATACTGGCTACAGAAAAATGAAGGGCCCCTTATTTGGTCCTGGGCGACTAAGAAATCAAGGATACTGTTCTGGTATGTAATACTTTTTTCCTCAAATTTATCTTCAGAACCAAACAGATTATCTGCTGAAGCAAGTTGGTGACCAGAAACTCCCATATTCCTTCCATGTTGTGGTATGTATATCACCTCTAGCTACCAAGGCCCTGTTGAAATATGTAACTTACAGTAAATGTGTAAACTGGTGATTTCATGTCGCTGACATTCAGAGGCAAAAATTTAGGCCTTTTGTCAAATCTTCACAGAGCTAACAGAGGTGCTCAAACTTATGCATTAAAATACTGTAGCATCCCTTAGTACATGTATACAATTGTGCTGCTGGTGTTAGTTTCAATAAGGGAAATTGGAATTGCAATTTTTTTCTTTTTTGATGTCACATGTGGAATTGCCAGCACATATTACATCCCTCTGGGGTTAACTACTGTGCTATTATTAAATTACTAGGTAGTTTAAGGTTCTCTGTAACACTTCAAATGTTTACCTGCAAATGCAACTGTCTCACAAGACCTAAGAAAAGTAGACCTTTGTCAGGACATTCAATTTAAAAATTTTCTAGTACATAGGAGTTTCTCTGCTTGCGTTTGAAGATCTAATCTGCCACCGACGGGTGAAGTCTGCCAGCTACTATACCCAGACTATCAGAACTGCAAGGGATACTCATGATTTCAAGTGGTTAGGATGATCCTATGGAGAAAATAATTAAACCCCCAAAAAATCCCCAGGGTTTTCAACAAAACCCCCAAAATTATTCAACTAAAAATTAACTCCAAGAAAATCCCAGGACAAAACGGATGCAATGTAATGCGAAGCCGTTGTTAACTATTACAGTCTGTACATGTACATGTAAATAACAACTGTAGAACCAGTTTGGTTGTACTTTATGTGCAGAACTACATGGTCGGGACACTACCACAAGTCTTGAGATTGTTTGTAATACAAGTTTTACCCAAAAAATTCCCTTCTTAAATCAAGCCACTCCCCCCCAAAAAAATTTATTTGTCAAATTTTCTTACCCATTGAAATCCCAGAATAATTTGAAAAAAATTTGGAACCCAAAAATTGCTTTGATCATCCCTGTCACTTGAAATCCATGGTAAAACCATCCCCCAACCAAATGTAACCCCAAACTTTTAGATGTGTGACATGTGACACTTGAGGGCTCTCTGAATCTGAAAAAAGTTGAAATCTTTCAGTTATATCTTTCTTTCCTGATATACTTCAAGTTACCAACAAAGGCTAATTCCTCCATAATCACTGTAAACATGCAGAACACGTGACAAAAAGACAAACAAGATGGAAGCTCACTGCAAGTGTGTAATGCCTGGCACTATTTGTATTGTTGTACCCAGGTTCAGCGTGCCACTGAGCGTAACTGTTGACAGAAAATGTCAATTGACTATCGATTGAGATGTCAATGGAGGGTCAATCAGGGGTATCGATCAACACTATGAATGCCTTTAGTACACATTATCCCTAATGTGTCCCTGAATCCCTAACCTACAATGGGCGACAAAAGTGGCGAGACACTTTGCACTAAATTCAATTTTCGAGCGTCTTGGAAACATTTCCCTCCATTTCCACCTTTCCCCCCTAACAATGTTGCTTTTTCTTTTTCTCAGACTGTAGACTACAGCACCTACACAACATTGAATTGGGGGGCCAGGGCTATCAGAGAATTAATGCTAGAAGCAAATAAAATAGAATAGACCCTTTTCATAAATGGCTGCCAATTTAAAATTCTTTTGTGTGTATTTAAATTAGCCTCACTAAACTCGTTTGGGAGTAAAAATTCTTTTGAATTATCAACTCAAGAACGAGGTTAGTCAGGCTAATTTTAATACTTACAAAAGAATTTATAATTGGCAGCCATTTATGAAAAGGGTCTATAAGAACTTACATATCAAAAAGTGTCATTTGCTAAAAGTGTCTCGCCTACTTTGGTCGCTCATTGTAGCTCTTACAATCCTATAGTGCAAGGGCTGCACAACCATAGTAATAATCTGTATTGATGACCAGTGAATTTATACAGGGCTACAATAAAGTTAATTAACAGTAACAAAATCATGAAGTTTAAACTGTAAAAAATGCACAATAATTTGTCAATTTTCCATGGGAGTTCCCCCTCCCCTTCCCCACTGACGTGACTGGTTTAAAGTAAAAAAATTGACAATAACTTTTCTCTGATTGCAACTTTTCATAGGTTGTTGTAAATCCCTATGGTAATGGTGAAATCAAACTTCAAAGGTTTCCTATAGGTAATAATAAAAAGTCATTGCTTTGATGTAATAATTGTAGCATAATGTACTTGGATATGATTTGAATAGTTATTTTATGTAAAGGCGATTTATTAGGGGAATCCAAGAAATCTAAGGTGGAAAGTTTTGAAATTTTGAATGCTATTTAGCATTATGACTCAGTTAAAGGATATCATAAAATTGAACCAAAACAAATTTAGCAAACTCCTCCAGATCACAAACCATATGAAAAATGTGGCTTGAAATATGACATGAGGTGAACCAAACGTTAAATCTAAAATCTACCCAAATCGATATCAATAATGGGTGAATGTCAATATGTAACTGAAGTTGAATTTAAAAAAAATTAACAGCAACAAAACTCTTAAATTCTCCTATTTTCCATTTCTTGACTTTGATGTAAGTGTATTATAAATATAGGCAAACATTTCAAAATTTGTCTGCACATGTGTACACACTGTTATAGGATGTCAGGATACTTTGAATCAATTTGACAAACTTATCTTTCAAATCCAGTCACCCTCAGTAATTAAAAATGAATTTTTGTCATAATTTCAAGATAGGTGAAACAAAGATTTAACCAGACATTACCTCCATATAATACATGTGGCAGAATGATAGCTGATGGTTCAATTTGGCCAAGCTGTTCAGAAGAAATTGTAATTATTATTTCCCCTCTGCTAATAAATTCTTACAATTGTGTTTATAGGTACTCCAAAAACTTTCATCATTCCAACTGTTCCTACTAAAGGTAATCAAAATCTTTTAAATAAAATGTGTCTTATAATTTATGTTCCCTCCTTCATATCAAAACATGCGAATACCATTGGGTAATTCCAGAAAATATTCATACCATACCACGGGCAGCATCTTGGAATTCCAATGGAGAGGGGGGGTTCTTGGACTTGAATTCTGAAGACATGGGGGGTAACGCAGTTTGGAATTCCAAACGCATGGGAGGGTTCATGCCGCCTGTGGTAGGGTATGGATATTTTCTGGAATCACCCATTGATGTTATTGGATCCACGAGACTCTACTGAACTTGTGGTCGTATATTTTTCACACTTTTTTAGAGTGTACATTGTTCTCTAGCTAGCAGTCATCCCATTACTTGTTTGCTCAGTCTTGCCACTCAACTTTTCACTTGCTGAATGCTCGACTGACTAAAAAGGGAATGCTAGTGCTAGTCTAATTAGTGACTGGACCATGATGTTATCTTATGACAAAGGAGATTAAGAAACAAGAATTAAGTCACAACTGTATGTGTATGCCCTTCTGATATTAATATTACTGTAAAACTTGTCAGCTGATATACTGACCAGATGAAAAGTGGTACTTTTTGTGATAAATTATTATTAACACTCAGGGCAGCTATAATTTATATCATTAAATCTAATGTGTAACTGACTTGTTATCACTGTTTTATGAAAGTGCCCTTCTTCTGTTATCTAACTCAGTGCAATAAAAAGCTTGCCTGATTTGAATTCTGCTTCCATGGTAAGCTGGATTTCCAGCCATATAGTAAGCCTGTGATCCTTGCCCCATGCCCTTGCTTGGAGGAGGATGACAGCCCGTCTCTCAAAATGGCTGGAAATCGAGCCTACTTCAATGAAAGCTGTTGTGCAACTTTTTAATTTATTTTACTTGTACCATGGAACCCTGCCTTACATGACTTCATTAATACAGTCACCTCATTATTACAGCCAATCCTTTTTGTCAAGGCAAAATGCCCATACATTTTTTATAGGAAAACTCCGTTAATCTGGCCACCTTTGTTAATATGGCCAATGGCCTTATTCTGAAATCCCAACCTGTCGAATCCTCCATGATTTTAACCCGTTAATATGGCCTTTTGAACCACTCATGTTCATCTTTCCATTGTTAATATTGTAGGTACGGATTGAAGTTTCAACTTTGTTATGAATTATACCTGCATTTAGAATGCTTATTAAAGAACAGTTGTTTAGAAGGGCAATTGTGATGTCTATCAAGACATCACTTAGAAATATAGACCGTTAATACAACCACCCCGTCAATACAGTCAAATTTACATGGCCAGCTGGTAACTGTATTAACATGGGTCCATTGTATGTATCCTTGCTTGGAATGCGTTTTATTTTTATTAATTTTGTCTTTGTTATGCTAGACACTGCAAGATTCGTAGGTTCCATTGTGGGAGGGTTGATAGCTGGAGTGGTACTGCTGGTGATTTTGTATTGTGCAGTTAAATGGAGAAGGAAAACTCTGTGTCCAGGTAAGCTGTACATGTAAATATTAAGTTGAAAAGTAATGAAGATTTAACACCATTAATTAATTTAAAGCCATGGACATTATTTTGTGGCACAGTAAGTTAAACACAGAACAAGCCAATACATCAAGGCTGAGGTGTTCAGCCTGCC